AGTCTCTGAAGCCATATAAAAAGCTGTGCAGTTACTCCCATTTGTACATAGGCAGTTTCTCTGTCCAGCCTTCCTAGGATTTACTAGGTTCAGAACTTTCTGGACTTTGTATCTTGCTCTATCCACATAGTCACACCCCACTTGGACTTAGTAGCTTGGCCCCAGATAACTGTCCTCACTCCACTCCCTATTGTGGCTTCTGCTCTATCCCAGGAGAGAGTGGTCATTTCTATGTCCAGTGTCCACATAAAGCATATTGTGTATACATTAGTCTTTTTTCAGTTTATAAAATTTTTTAATGTTTATTTATTTTGAGAGAGAGCACGTGTGAGTGGGGGAGGAGCAGAGGGAGAGGGAGGGAGAGGGAGAGAAAGAGAGAGAGAGAGAGAGAGAGAGAAAGAATCCCAAGCAGGCTACATGTTATCAGCACAGAATCTGACATGGGGCTTGATCCCATGCATCCGATAAGGTCATGACCTGAGCCGAAATCAACAGTTGGATGCTTATCCGACTGAGCCACCCAAGTACCCTCAGTCTTTTATATATATATATATATGAAAATTTATTTTGAGAGAGGACAAGAGAGAATAAGAATAAATATATACATATTTATTATTTATTTTGAGAAAGGACGAGAGAGAGAAGAAGAAGAAGGTGGGGGGGTCGCAGAGAGAGACAGAGAGGGAGAGAGAGAGAATCCAAAGCAGACTGCCTGCTATCAGTGTGGAGCCCAACACAAGGCTCAATCTCATGAACCAGGAGATCATGACTTGAGCCGAAATCAAGAGTCAGATGCTCAACCAACTGCACCACCCAGATGCCCCTACAAGAGTCTCCTAAATCCTACATTGGTTTTCTAAATTGATATCCAAACTTAAAATTCTATCAAGCTATAATATTCAAAAGATTGCCATCAAAAATATCTTTAGGTTGAATCATCTAACAGTAAAATGCTAGTCTGTCCTAATTTTAGGGGAATGTCAGGTTGAAAGCCTTTGTTGATTTTTTAAATTTTTATTTAAAATTTTTTTTAATGTTTATTTTTTTGGGAGACAGAGAGACAGTGTGAGCAGGGGAGGGGCAGAGAGAGAGAGAGAGGAAAACACAGAATCTGAAGCAGGTTTCAGGCTGTGAGTCGTTAGCACAGAGCCTGATGTGGGGCTCAAACCCATGAACCATGAGACCATGACCTGAGCTGAAGTCAGTCGCTTAACCAATTGAGCCACCCAGGCGGCCCTACTTTTTTTATTTTTAAATTTATTATAGCTTTTACTTTTTAATACAGTGTTACATTTACATACAGCAATAATATGAAAAGGGACAAAAATGGCAAAAGGTATTATGTCTTAAAAAAGCATTTATTTAGTAGCTAAGAAGAAATGGCAGCCAAGCCAAGGCCTTCAAGCAGAACCTTGGGAGATTATCCTCTATAAAATCTGTCCTGATCAACAGGAAAAACCTAAAGATATCACTGTGTTAGGTGGGGCAGGCTTCCTCAAGGAACTGAACTGGTTCTGTCTGAAGCTTCACTTTAGAAGTCACACTTGAGTTCTGGGAGCTTCCAAACCAGCTCCCTGGGGACTCATTATTAAATAAGAGTAACTAATCAAGCATCACCAGATATTTAAGGGAAAGCTCTAACATGAAAGGCATGCCAACAAGCAAACATAAGGGAAGCAATATGAAGAAATTAGAGGTTGTACAAGGAAAAGGAAACATCCTTGGGCAGTACGAGAAGAGATACTATATACACAAAACAAGAAAGGTATGGGCAAAAAAAAAAATCAAGGGAAAAAAAGAAATCAAGATATAAAAAATTCAATAGAAGGGCTGAAAAATAAGGCTGAGGGAATCTTCCAGAAGCTAGGGCACAAAGATTCAAACTGAAGAAATATGAGAAAAGATAAGAAAATCAGACAACCAGAGAACTCTGGAAACCCCATACTCAAATAAAAAGAATTCCAAAGAGACAGAGGGAGAGAGGGAGGGAGAGAGAAAAAGAGAGAGGGAGAGGGAGAGGGGAAGGGAAAGTGAGAGAAAGAGAGAAAGAGACAGAGAGAGAGAGGGAAGAAGGGAGGGAGAGAGAGAATAGAGAAAAATGAGGGATAAATTCATCAACAGAACTAAAGATGTTTCAGATGAAAAGGACCTGAGTTTTCCAGAATGAACTAGCCTACCAAATACTCAGAAAAAAATTGGATTCAAAAAAAGAAAATACTACTGCCAGACAGAAAGTAAACTGGAATTAGATTTTTTGAAATGAAGTTTTAGAATAGCTTTTGTCTTCTTAGCAGAAACATTTGAAGCTAAGGGACTTAGGACAATCCCCCAAGGTTCAGAATCTTCTGAAGAGAAATTATTTCCAACCTAGAATTCTATGTCCAGTCAAACCAGCAATAAAGAATAATAATAGTGTAAAAATATTACAGACATTTAAAGTATCAAAACTTTGCCTCAGGAAATGAATGAAGGGTATGCTACATTAAAAAGAGGGGCGCCTGGGTGGCTTAGTCGGTTAAGCGTCCGACTTTCTCTTAGGTCATGATCCCACGGTTCGTGGGTTCGAGCCCCGCGTCGGGCTCTGTGCTGACTGCCAGCTCAGAGCCTGGAGCCTGTTTCAGTCTCTGACTCCCTCTCTCNCCTGGGTGGCTTAGTCGGTTAAGCGTCCGTCCGACTTTCGCTTAGGTCGTGATCTCGCGGTTCGTGGGTTGGGGCCCCGCGTCCGGCTCTGTGCTGACTGCCAGCTCAGAGCCTGGAGCCTGTTTCAGTCTCTGACTCCCTCTCTCTCTGACCCTCCCCTGCTCACGCTGTCTCTCTCTCTCTCCTAGAAATAAATAAAACATAAAAAAAAAAAATTTTTTTTTAAAAGAAATGGAGGGGAGTGGGGAATGGAACAATAAAAACATACTGGATTAATGCAAAGGAAGCTAGAGAGGAAAGAAAAAAACATAGAAATAGACTTAATTCCAAATATATCAGTAATCACTTAAAATGTAAATGGATTAAATATTCAAAGTAATAGACAAAGATTTTCAGAGTGGAAAAGAAACCTAACTTTATGCTGCTTATAAGAAATATAATTTTTTTTAGGTATGATGGATTTTTTTAAATTTACATCCAAGTTAGTTAGCATATAGTGCAACAATGATTTCAAGAGTAGATTCCTTAAGGCTCCTTGCCCATTTAGCCCATCCCCCCTCCTACAACCCCTCCAGCAACTCTCTGTTTCTTCTCCATATTTAAGTCTCTTATGTTTTTGTCCCCCTCCCTGTTTTTATATTATTTTTGCTTCCTTTCCCTTATGTTCATCTGTTTTGTATCTTAAGTCCTCATATGAGTGAAGTCATATGATATTTGTCTTTCTCTGACTAATCTTGCCTAGCATGATATCCTCTAGTTCCATCCACATAGTTGCAAATGGTAAGATTTCATTCTTTTTGATTGCTTAGTAATACTCCATTGTATGTATATATGTGTGTGTGTATATATATACATACACACACATCGCATCTTTATCCATTCATCTGTCGATGGACATTTGGGCTCTTTGCATACTTTGGCTATTGTTGATAGTGCTGCTATAAACATTGGAGTGCATGTGCCCCTTTGAAACAGCACACCTGTATCCCTTGGATAAATACCTAGTAGTGCAATTGCTGGGTTGTAGGGTAGTTCTACTTTTAATTTTTTGAGGAATCTCCATACTGTTTTCCAGAGTGGCTGCACCAGTTTGTATTCCCATCAGCAGTGCAAAAGGGATCCTCTTTCTCCACATCCTCGCCAGCATCTGTTGTTGCCTGAGTTGTTGATGTTAGCCATTCTGACGAGTGTGAGGTGGTATCTCACTGTGGTTTTGATATGTATTTCCCCAATGGTGAGTGACGTTGAGCATCATTTCACGTGTCTGTTGGCCATCTGGATGTCTTCGTTGAAGAAGTGTCTGTTCAGGTCCTTAGCCCATTTCTTCACTGGATTATTTGTTTTTTGGGTGTTGAGTTTGATAAGTTCTATATAGATTTTAGATACCAACCCTTTATCTGATATGTTGTTTGCAAATATCTTCTCCCATTCCACTGGTTGTCTTTTAGTTTTGCTGATTGTTTCCTTTGCTGTGCAGATACTTTTTCTTTTGATGAGGTCCCAAAAGTTCATTTTTGCTTTTGTTTCCCTTGCCTCTGGAGACGTGTTGAGTATGAAGTTGCTGTGGCAAAGTTCAAAGAGGTTCTTGCCTGCTTTCTCCTCAAGGATTTTGATGGCTTCCTGTCTATTTAGGTCTTTCATCCATTTTGAGTTTATTTTTGTGTACGCTATAAGAATGTTATCCAGGTTCGTTTTTCTGCATGCTGCTGTCCAGTTTTCCTAGGACCACTTGCTGAAGAAACTGCCTTTATTCCACTGGATATTTTTTCCTGCTGTGTCAAAGATGAGTTGGCCATACATTTGTGGGTCCATTTCTGGGTTCTCTATTATATTCCATTGATCTGAGTATCTGTTCTTGTGCCAGTACCATACTGTCTTGATGATTACAGCTTTGTAATACAGCTTGAAGTCTGGGATTGTGATGCCTCCTGCTTTGGTATACCATACTATTATGGTATTATTATCAATGAGTTTCTTTATATTTGTGATTAATTGATTTATATATTTGGGTGCTTCCACATTTGGAACATAAATGTTTACAACTAGTATGTCTTCTTGGTGGATAGACCACTTACTTATGATTTAATGCCCTTCCTAAAGAATTACAAAATTAAAGAAAGGAATGCTTTAAATTTTTGTACTTTGCTGAAAATTCTTTTTCCCAGGGTCTATAAAACATTAATTTGTTTTTATATTTTACTATTTTTGTGTTTTGTTGTTTTTAAATCAATATGTAATCTAGGACTAACATTGTTTGCTAGACCTGACATTTGCTCAGTACATAGGGGTCAAAGTTTCCTTTCCTTTTTTTCTTTATTTTATATTTTGCAATATTTTTTCCCCATAATGTTTAAGTTTTTCGATGTTTAGATATTTTTCTTCAGTGAAGCATGAGTTTCTTTTTGTGGTCCCTGATCAATTTTAAAGAGTTGGAACACCAGGGGCACTGTTAACTGCTTTCTGGGCAGCCTCTTTAGCTTGGTGGGCTTGCAGCATAGCTACAGCTTCATCAACTTTAGACCAGAGAGACTGCGGACACTCAAGCATATGAAGAAGTTCTGAATTATCAATCTCCAACAACATGCCAGTGATTTTACCAGCAAGAGCAGGATGCATGGCTTGAATGAGAGGTAAGAGCCACTTACCCAACATTTGCTTTTGCTCTTGAGGTGGGGCAGATGTCAACATGGAAGCAGTCAAAGGCTCCTGACCTTGTACATGAACAGCAGGCTGCTGCGCAGTAACTTGTGGCTGTGCACTCGGATGTTGATGTGCACTGCAGACCCCGGCAGCATAGTTATAATGTGGAATGGTGCGAACTGCAGGAGTGGCTGCAGCAGCAGCTGCTGCAGGATGTGGACCCTCCATCTGTGTTGACATGTTAGCAACACGCTGTGTCGGCATGACCTGTGGAACCTGTGAAGAAGTTGGTCTCATGGTATGCAATGGTGGTCTAGGAGTGTCTGGGCAGATAGCATCGGGCATCTTTTGGAATCGATGAGGTCTGGCATCCTGAGCAGACCAGCGAGAACTTGGTCTGAGTTGAACAATCTGGCTAGGAGGGTAGTACACAGCACGGTTCTGAGTCTGTGAGATAGCTGCCATGAGGTAACCTGAAGGAGGTACTGGCTGGTAGGGGTTGATTTCAGGATTGAGCACAGCTCTGACACTTGCCATTCTCTGCACATACTGGTTAGTGAGGTAAGCCTGGCGCTCTTCTTTGTTCTCTGATAAAGCCACATACAGTGGCTTGGTGGCCACAATTTTACCATTCATTTCTGTAACTGCTCTTGTGGCTTCTTCTGGGGAGGAGAAACATACGAAACCAAACACGTTGCTGCGACCACCCTCCATCATAACCTTTGCACTAGTGATTGTACCAAAAGTTGAAAACTCTTTCCGGAGACGTTCATCATCAATACCATCATCAAGGTTTTTCACACAGACGTTAACACCTTGGTATCTGGTGATCCAATCTTGCTTCATTTGTTTAAATCTGTGCTTAAGTTCTGTCTGTCGTTCCACTTTATTCTGAGCTCGACCAACATAAATTTGTTTTCCATTGAGCTCCTTCCCATTCATCTCATCCACAGCTTTCTGTGCATCTTCATGCCTTTTGAAGCTCCCAAATCCAAAACCTTTGGATTTTCCACTTTCATCAGTCATTACTTTCACACTTAAGGCAGGTCCAAACTTGTCAAAGGGATCCTTAAGATGTTCATCATCCATATCTTCTCCAAAATTCTTGATGTTAACATTGGTGAACTCTTTTGCCCTAGCTCCGAGTTCTCGTTCTTGTTCTTTACGAGACTTAAATCTTCCAACAAATACTTTGCGATCATTTAGAAGCATCCCATGCATTTTTTCAATAGCTCTTTCAGCTGCTTCCTGTGTCTCAAAATGTACTAATCCGTAACCTTTGGAACCATTTTTATCACAAACAACCTCACATGAAAGGATGTTACCAAAAGCAGAAAATATATCATACAGTGCTTTATTATCAATGGATTTGTCCAAATTGTTAATGAATATGTTGCACACTCCGCTTCTGCTAAGTGACAGATCACGCTGAGACCACATGATGCGTACTGGATTGCCCTTTACAATGTCAAAATTCATGGTGTTCAAAGCACGCTCCGCGTCCGCAGGCTGCTGGAAATGCACATACGCGTAGCCCAAAGCGTGGCGGGTGATCATGTCCCTGCAGACCTGGATGGAGAGGATGGGCCCGGCCGGGCTGAACCTGTCGTAGAGCATCGCCTCAGTCACATCGGGGTGTAGGTCCCCCACGTAGAGCGAGGCCATGGAGGATCTGGGGGCACTGGGGTTCATCTCAGCACGGCTGCCCTCAGGGCCAAGGGCCTTGACTCCAACTCCATACAAGGAGGAGAGTGAGTGCTGAGGCCAGGGGCCGGAGCCGGGAAGAGTGGAGAGGGGGCAAGCGCAGAGGGACAAAAATCAACCAGAATAGAAAACTACTCAGACGCAGAACAGGGTCGAACAGGGTCGATCAGCTGCTGCTGGCTGCTGGCTGACTGGGGAGCGAGGGTGGCAGTGTCAGGTCCAGGCAGCGGGAATGCCTCGGTCTCTTGGTTCCGTCTTGGAGCTGCTGCAGAGCTGCTACGGGGCTGCGGGCAGGCAGGCCAGTCGGTCTCAGTTGCTTCACCAGATTATTTTATAAAAGAGGAAGAAAAAAAAAAGTCTCCGGCGGGGGAGACACAGATTTTTTGTTAATTTTTGGGGTTTTTTTTAAAGATCTTTTTAGACTTTTTGGTTGTTTTTTTGTGTTTGTTGTTTGTCTGTTTGTTTTAAATAATAAATATGTGTTCCAAGCCCAGAGCATACACTCTACACTCTCAGCACTAACTGCAGGGGAGAAGGGAAGAAATACAATTTAGACACAGAAAAGTTGAATGGTTTAGCTAGAGTAGTATCACACAAAATAGACCTAAAGGCAAAGTCATTAATAGAGTTTTTTAAAAAGTATTTCTTACTGATAAAGGGGTAAATCCATCACAAAAACAGCACAATCATAAGCTGTATGCACCTAGTAATAGTGCTTTAAAATTTATAAAGCTTGGGGCACCTGGATGGCTCAGTTGGTTAAGCATCCGACTTCAGTTCAGGTCATGATCCCGTGGTTTGTGGGTTCAAGCCCTGCATCAGTTTCTGTGCGGACAGCTAAGAGCTTGGAGTCTGTTTCAGATTCTGTGTCTCCCTCTCTCTCTGCCCCTCCCCCACTCATGCTCTGTCTCTCTCTGTCTCAAAAATAAACTATTAAAAAAATTTTTTAAAACAATATAAAATTTATAAAGCAAAACTGATAGAATTAGAAGGAGAAACTGACAAATACAGAATTACAGTGGGTGGTTTTAAAATAACTCTGTCAGAGATGAAAAACAAGCAGACAGAGGCTCCTGGGTGGCTCAGTCCGTTAAGTATCTGACTTCGACTCAGGTCATGATCTCATGGTTCATGGGTTCAAGCCCTGTGCCGGGCTCTGTGCTGACAGCCAGCTCAGAGCCTGGAGGCTGTTTCAGATTCTGTGTCTCCCTCTCTCTCTGACCCTCCCCGCTCACACTCACTCTCTCTCTCTCAATAATAAATAAAACATTAAAAAAAAGAAAAAGAAAAACAAGTAGACAAATTTAATAAGAATTTACGTGCACAATATACTTAAGAAACCTCTGTCCTTTTAGCACCTGACTTGACTGTCTTCACATTGTTAGAAACAGTTCGTCATACGAATGGATCAAGAAGATGTGGTTTATCTATACAATGGAATACTACATGGCAATGGGAAAGAATCAAATCTGGCCACGTGTGGCAACATGGATGGACCTTGCGGGTGTTCTGCTGAGCGAAATAAGTCAGGCAGAGAAGGAAATACCATATGTTTGCACGTATAGGAGGATTAGGAGGAACTTAATGGAGGACCATGGGGGAGAAGAAGGGGGGAAATAGTGGGGGAGGGGGAGAGGAAAACCATGAGAGACTCTTGAATACTGAGGACAAACAGGACTGATGGGTGTGGAGGGCGGTGGGGGGATGTGCATGGAGGAGGGCACTTGTTGGGATGAGCACTGGGTGTTATATGGAAACCAAGTTGACAATAAACTATTTGTAAAAAATAAAATAAAAAAAAAAAGTTAGTCGGGAAAAAAAAAAGAAACAGTTTGTCATATTGTACATATTGGAGGAAGTCACCAAAGAAAGATGGAGGGAGAGAGAAAAACGGGAAAGGGGGGCGGTCCCTGGAAAACATGAAAGAGAAAAAATGGGATGACAGATGTGCCCTGCTGAGTACAGAAGGCAGCCCAGCTAGACAAGTAAAAGCCAGAAAGCTGTGGTGATATAAGTAACTATCTTTAGAGGAAACGTACACCAGATTTCTTGTAGTTTAATGTGGGAAGGGATCTTTTGAAAATGTGGATTCTAATACAGATGGTCAGGGTCAGCCTGAGTTTCTGCATTTCTAATGTGTTCCCAGGTGATGCCAAGTCTGCTGGGCCAAAAATCACAATTTGAAAAGCAAAGCCTTGACAACTGATGAAAAGCTGGGGTTAAATTCATGATAGATACATAGAAAACTAAGCAAAGCACGAAAACCCTAATCATCAACTAAAGCAAAGCAAAAATTTTGTAGGAGAAAGTAATCATGGTCTACTCCATGGCTCAGCAGTGAAGTGTGTTTCCATAGCCAAAGTAATATAAATACTGAATACTGATCTCACTAAAATATAACTCTACTGAAATGGTGGATGATAGGAATCCACTGGTTGTGGGGAAACGCTGCTAGGAAAAAGTTAATACTAATGTTCCCTGGTGAGAAATTAATATGTGATTAATATGTAATTCCTACAATGAAAAAATAAATTAGTAGTATATTTACCTTAGAGATATGGAGAGTAATACCAAAATAATTAACAAAACAGGGTGGAAAATTGTTTCCAAGGAGGAGGCAACAGGATGGAGGAGAAAAGAAAACTACTGTGATTTTTGGTTAAAGTATAAGGCAGTGCACAGAAGGAAAAGAGCTCCCAGTGGCCAAAGCTGCAACAGTTTGAGAAACAAAGTAAATAATGTTAGAACTGAATTATTACCTAAACAATCAAGTAAATATCCAAGAGTCTATACTGACATAAATACTTAAATAAACGAGGGAGAAGGAACAGTTCATTCTCACGGAAGAAAGACATCTCTCAACATGAGGGGCACATCTCAGTAATAAGTATTACACTCAAGAGCCACTGATGGATACTAAACTCAGTGTGAAAAAAGGTTAAAGAGAAATAGGATATGTGCCTACTTTCAAACTATCTCCCCCAAGCTACTTATTAATCACAAAGGGAAAAATGGCAACTTTGTAGCAGAGAAACAGAGCGGATACCACTTTAATCCAGTGCTGAAGGTCAACATTACCTATAATATCTATAATAAGACATACTGACACAAGCATCTCCTGATATGATGCTTGGAGAAAGGCACAATATCACCTACATAGTATTCTTGCCAAATATTCATAACCCCGTTATAATCATCAGAAAAATTCAGAACACCCTTAATTGGAGGGTATCCTACAAAATATCTGACCAGTACTCTTCAAAAGTGTCAAGGTAATCAGAGATAGAGAAAGACAAAGACGCTGTCACAGATTGGAGGAGACATAATAACAAAATGCAATGTGAGAGTATCCCAGGTTGGATCTTTGAATGGAAAAAGGATCACAGTTTTTAAATGGTGAAATTCAAATAGTTTAGTTAATAGCAATGTTATTTTCATCTGTATGCTACAGGGATGTAAGATGCTGCCATAGAAAGAACAGGTGAAGGTTGACCAGGAAAGCTTGTTGTACACTTGTAACTTTTCTTTTTTTTTTTTTTTTAAATTTTTTTTTAATATTTTTATTTATTTCTAGGAGAGAGAGAGAGACAGCTTGAGCAGGGGACGGTCAGAGAGAGAGGGAGACACAGACTCTGAAATAGGCTCCAGGCTCTGAGCTGACAGTCAGCACAGAGCCCGATGCGGGGCCTGAACCCACGAACCATGAGATCATGACCTAAGCGAAAGTCGGACGCTTAACCGACTAAGCCACCCAGGCGCCCCCACTTGTAACTTTTCCTAAGTCTAGAGTTATTTGAAAATACAAAATTAAAACACTAAACAAAAAACATCTTTGTACAGCACGGTGCAGACGCTAAAAACTACGGATTACAGGCCACAACTGTCCCACTGACTAGTTTTGTGAATAAAGTTTTATCGGAACACAGCCACATCCATTCATTTACAAATTATCTATGGCTGCTTTACTACTACAACAGCTGAGCTGAATAGCTGCAATAGAGATTTTATGGCTAGCAAAGCCTAAAATAATTACCATCTGGCCCTCTTTAAAAAATCTTGCCAACCTCTGGCACATAGTTAAGATTATAGACTCTGAATTCAAATACTGGCAATCATTACTAACTTTGTGACCATGAACGAGTTACTTAACTTCTTAGTGCCTCAGTTTCTTTTATTTTTCTTTTTTGTTTTTCAGTGCCTCAGTTTCTTTACACATAAGTCTGTAAAGCAGGGATAATGGTTATTGATTTCCTAGGGTTATTATGAATTTTAAAAATGAAAATAAAAATAAAATATGACAAATGTAAAAAGTGCCTAGAACAAAGCCTGCACACTTAAAAAAAATTATTTTGAAGTTTGCTCATTTTTGAGAAAGATAGAGACAGAGAGTGAGCAGAGGGAAGGGCGGAGAGAGAGGGAGACACAGAATCTGAAGTAAGCTCCAGGCTCTGAGCTGTCAGCACAGAGCCCGATCTGGTGCTCAGGCTCAGAAACTGTGAGATCATGACCTGAACCAGTCAGAGGCTTAACTGACTGATCCACCCAGGCGCCCCTAAGCCTGCACATTTTTTAAGTGCCTGTCAATAATTTTTTAAAAAGTTTAAGACCAAACTGATCAATAACAGCAAAAGTATTCTATTGGATAATGCTGTGTTTCTAACAAAACCTGGCTCTTCATCAATATAACTTCTCTAAACCCCGTCTCCATATCTTGGTTAATGTTTGTTAACCATCAAAGAGCTGAGAAAGAAAAAGTATTCTCAATATTACCTGAGAGTCCTTACCTCTTAAATTAGACTTGCTACACAAGTTACTACATAGCTTCAGAGAGTTCCCTGAACGTTTGATACCTTCCCCAGAAGATTCTTTCAAAATATTCCCTCCATCTCCATCTCCTCCTCTCCTCAAACACACCCAGGAGCAATGACTCCAGCCCAGCACACCCGGGGTTCTCACAGGTGACTTCCCTTGCATTCTCATGGCATCCAGATGTTTGCTAATGT